AAACATAGTATGAGCCCTATGTGTCGATTTGGTTATTTCATTAGTGTTGTATGTCGATGAGCCGCTACCCATTAGGGATGTGAGAGATTCATGCTTTGTCCTGTGACTTTGTGAGAGCTTTGAAAGCATTGAGATGTTTATGTGAAATAACTATCCTTTTAAATGACCTATTTACCGGCCCTAATAATGTAAGCAAGACTCATTTTATTAAGAGTATTTTTTGGTCTCTCCCAAAATGTAATTAACCAAAAGGATACGTTCATTTTGAAGTTCTCTTGACCTCAGAACAAAAATGTTCTTTTTGGTTTTCTGGTTATAAGTGACTTATATAGAAATTTTCTTTGTGGATACCGTGTTTTGAGGTATTTCGATCTAATCTTGTTTGGACCTATAATCTCATTATATCACACAAGGATTACCTTATACATAAGCTTTTCTTGTCTTTTTTAAAAAATTTTTGTCTATTTTTTTTTTGTTTATCTTGTTTTTTCTAATTCCTCTCATCTTCGGATCATTCATATGATCTGAGAGGGAGATTTATTTGGAAAAGGGTATTAAACAACCATGACATATTTATAAACAAGCTGGTGACTCCGAGTTTTTAAAAAGAACTAAAAACAAATTCAACGAGTTGTTGGGGAAGAGTCTTCGCCTCCATATTAGGAGTTTTGCTTACATTATCATGGCAGCTATCTTTCGTCGTGTCACTTTTTGACACCTTGTGAGACCTTGGATTTTGAATTTGTGTTGGTCACTATGGTAAGCGGTGCAAGACTATTTTGTCCTGTTTTCTCAAATTAAAAATTGCAATGGCGCTGAAGAGACAAAATGTGAAATGAGTATATCTGTGATAGTATTGGTGTAGCTCCAGTGACGGACAAAATTAGAGAGAGTCGCCTTAGATTGTTTGGTCACATTAAACATCAACCATCTGATGAGATCCGATTAGGAGAGTAAATGTTTTAGATTCAGCTTGTGTAAAGAAAGGCAGAGGTAGACCTAGGAAAACTTGGGCTTATTGTATAAAAAATGATCGTAATTTACTGGAACTAAATGAAAATATGACACTAAATAGGACGCAGTGGAGAAAAAGGATTCATGTAGCCGACCCCACATAGTGGGATTAAGGCTTTGTTGTTGTTGTTGTTAGTGGTGCTGAAGAGAAGAAACAGCGGAGCTGCCGAGAAGAAAAAACCACATATGAGAGCCGGTGACTGAGTTTTTAAAAAGAACCAAAAACAAATATGAGTGGTGTTGAAGAGAAGAAACAGCGGAGCTGCCGAGAAGATAAAACCACATATGAGAGCCAATGACTGAGTTTTTAAAAAGAACCAAAAACAAATATGGCGACTGTGCTAGAAAAGAGTCGCTCTCTCCATATTAGGAGTATTGCTTACATTATCGTGCTGGTATTTTTCCTCGTGTCGCTTTTTGACACTTTGTAAGACCATGGATTTCAAATCTATGTATCGGTCACTATGGTTAGCAGCGCGACACTATTCTGTCTTTTTTTCTCAAATTATAAATTCCAATGGTGCTAAAGAGAAGAAACAACAAAGAAGAATCCCACCGCCGAGAAGAAAAAAATTACATATGAGAGAGTTTTTGCTGGAAAGAAGCCTCGCACTGAGAAGCAGCTTCCGACCTCAAAGTAAAGTAGCAAGAAGGATCTTAAATCCTTTATGTCTTGGTAGGTTTAGACAAAAGAATTGTGAGGAAGCTGTAATGTCAAAACTAAGCAGAAGCATACATAGATTAGACCTAAGTGTTGGGTAGGCCGCTCAACAGGCTCGCCAAAAGCCCGCTCATAATGGGCGAGCATGACTATGGAAAAATAGACATCTGTGACCCCGGCTCGGCCCGAGCCCACTTTGATTTAGTCAAAGCCCAACACCACCAAACACGGCCCGCCCTCTTAAAACCCAACCCCAAAAAAATCTCAATTTATTAGGAAATATGATTCTAGTAATACTAATTTCTTGTGTAATGCTGAGATTTGAGTGTTGTGTATGTAATATGAAAGTTTAGGTGTTAGATATGCTAATGCATGAGAACTATGCAGTATGTTTAGAATGTATTATTCGTGAAAGAGAAAAAGAGGGGTTGATGGTACTATAAGATATCTCGGGGAAACTTCATCTTCTCCATTCTTCTTTAAAACCGAGCACAACACCTGCCTTGATATGTAAGTTTCAAGTACTCTTGAGACCTCCGTCATTTTGAGATCAAAGCTACTTCCTTTACCTTCGTGGCCCTGGTGATGACTAACCAGAGAATGTTCTCCTTGGACTAGACAACCTCCCACCTGTGGAGCCTGAAATCCATGGATTTGAGACAACTGGGGTTTTCTCGCAGCTAGCAGACACCTTCGTGATCTCTTTGTTAGTTGTAGGTTCCTCCTTACCCTCCAATGGCTATGGTTTCAACGGCGAAACCGATTTCCCTGCCTTCTGTCTCAGCAGTTTTTCTCTTGCTTTTTCTGTTTCCATTTTTGCACTCTCTTTGCTCATCTTTATTAATTTCCAGGGATCTATTGGGATTTCAGGCTTTGCTAAATTGATTGGACAGGGTGTTTTTTCAACTAGAATATAAAATCTTTGACTGCTCTATTAAGAAAAACACAACTTGTCATGCACTAACTTTTCTCTAGTTACCCATGCGGCTTTAACACTCTTCTTTAGCATTAAATCAACCTAATATCCCTCACAACACTTGAACTTGTAAGCACAAAACACTCTAAGAAGAAGATTTGGGAGAAATATTGGAGAAATAAATACTTCACTTAGAAAGAATAATTACAACTCTTGAATGCGCCCTCTCTTATTTATAGCCCCCTCCAAATTGAAGGGAACATTCTAGAATACATTAAATTATTCTAGTTTCTAGAGATTTCTACACTCTTCTCTTATGCACATACATAGCCCTGGAACTTTCTAGGTTATTCTTGAGTTTTCCTTGTAGCTTTTCCTTTTAACCTTCTCCAAAATATGATGGAATCTTCTAGAGTCCCATGGATGCCTCCCTATATTTTGGCCTTCTCTAGAACCTTTCATCGCATGAGGGTCCTGCTAATTTCTAGAATATGGCGGAGCATGACAACCTGCTTCTCCAATGGAGAATAGTATTATGTTCAGTAGGGCAAAAATAAAAATTTCCTCTTTACTATTTAGAATATATTAGAATCATGATGATTAGAGTGGTTTTTTTTCCCAGATGAATTTTTTTTAAGGCCCATGGGCTAGCTGGTCCAGCCCGTCGTTTAGTGTGGGTAAGCTTGGCTATATGTTTTTAAATAGAAACCGGTCTCAAGCCCGACCCGGGTCAGCTTTGACTATTCAAAGATTGAATTAGCCCGGCCCGCCCAACGTCCAGGTCTAATCCAAATCCTCCAACACCACAATCCAATCATTGCCTTCATTGTTAACTCTAATCGCAATTGTACTGCAAGGGGATGAAGTTGTCATCCAATCCTTGTCTTTTTTGTTCATTCTAATCATAATTGCATCCCGATGAGATAAAACAATGGTCTATCTACTTTCCCAACTGGTTGATGGTTTCAGGTAGAAGCGGAGTGGAAGTGGGAGAAAGTCCAGAGTTTCAAATGTCTTTGTATGTCGCGATCTCGTCTATTTTCACATCTAGCTGCCGTCGAAATTGTGTTGTAGGGTTGCTGGCAAGAGCAATGCGAAATGAGGCAACCACAACACTTTGAACATGTTGGCAACAAGGCCGACAGGTGTCACTTGTGATTTCGACGACTATTTTTGGCTCTGATATGAAGTTAGTTTTGGGAGGGGAAAAATAACCATTCCTCTTCGATTTCATGGAAGTATATTATAATATAAATAGAGGTGAATAGCTCCTATTTAGAAAAGTAATAAAATCAATAATAACTCCTCATAATAAGAGAAAGAAGGAAATCAGAATTATGATATCAATAACTCTAAATCTTAAAAATAGAAAATTTAATAATAAAATATGCTAAAAATAAAATCTTCCTAAACAATTCATACACTTATCAATGTGAATTTCATGGAAAGTGAAAAATGGCTGCTATTAGTTAATAATGGGTAATATTCTTTTGTTAAGAGATTTCATAACTTAAAGTTTAAGGTAAATAAATTACAAATGGTGCATTTTCCTTCTGCTAGATTAAAAAAGTCCAATTTGTTTTGAATGAAGTTTTCTTAATTATGTGAAAACTTATTAATTGTAATTATAATTTTTTTTTATTTGTATTACTTTTCTAATGCTTACAATAAACCCACTCTCCTTGGGCAGGTCTGTTGATTAAATATAGTTTTACTTATAACAGTAGATTATTTATTTAAAAGTAAAAAAAAAAAAAAACTCAAATGCATGTTAATCATGCCTTCTTGGTTTTCAAAGTTGATAACAATTAAAAGGCATGCTAAAAATATTATAGTGGGTCACGTGGCAGGTGTGCTCCACACTTCTAAAAAATCTACATAATCAGTGTATTATAGTGGGACTCACTTATCACGTGACAAGTTTCCACTGGCCTTCGAACAGGCAGAAGACTGAAGATCTCAAAGCACACCTTACAATGCAGTTTTTTTTATGGCACTAAGAATTTACTGTGGAGCATCACGTTCAGCTGCTTTCATAAGATTCCTACTGTTGTCAGTTTTAGCTGAGGTTCTGCGTGTTGTTAGATGACTATTTTATAGCTAAAAGAAAGGAAAAAAAAAAGACAAAATCATCATTAATCATTCTAAATAACATCAACATCTTTAAATAACCAAAAAAGAAAAATATCACCAAACAATCATTAGCTGATAGATTTTACATTCAGATAAAGCTGCAAATTTAGCTTATAGCATAAATCTGTAGTCCTTGAAGCAACAATTTGACAGCATTGCTATATTATACATTTACAGAACCTCTTTCTTAGAATGCATTTACACCTTAAAACTCTATTTTGACATATATGTGAAAGTAAAACAAATAAAAAAAAGGGAAAATTACATACATAGCACCCAATTTTTATAAATTTACCCATCTCACATAAACTTTCATTTTTATACACATAGCACTTTACCTATGAATAAAAAGATAAGTTTGACTATTAAAAAATGATAATGAGTGCTACTCTTCATATCATGTTTGTAATTATGAAAATTTAGATGTGAGATAGTTAAATATGAAATTTTGATTGCTATGTATGTAAAAGTCTCAATACATTTACAATGCTCCTACAAATTTATCCATTTCCGCCCTATAACCAATTACTGATCCAACATAAAGATCAGACTGCCCAAAATCGCTTCTTTGAAGTGAAGCCCTCCGTCCACCTTCTCTCATACCTTTCACAAATGCTACAAAATGGCGCCAGTTCTCCCCTTCAAAAAGGTTCTTGTTCATCCTCAAGTACGTGAAGGCGCTCAATTCAATTCCCTCGTCAGCCCTGCTAGTTTCCAACACCTGAGAGTAAGCCGCCTCATCATACCTCTCCAGAGCATTCTCCCCGGCAAGCTCCGCCGATGCAGCGAAAGCCGCCTCCTTCACCTGCCTAACCAGCAACTCCGGAGAGCAGTTCGCGTGCTCCGGCAGCCCTTCATCTCTCATCTCCATACATGTAAAGTTCAACACCACACCTCTCTTCGTCAGCATCCTCGCAATAGGCAGATAGCCGTTGCGATGCCATGTGTTGTAGTAGCCGGCAGTAAGCTCCGCTGCGTGGGAGCGAGTCTTAAAATGCCAGTGAATGCCTGCAATTTTCGCCGATAACTTCACACCGGAGGCTCGGAATATCTCCTCTGCGGCGGCGAGGACGCGATCGCCATGCTCTAGAAGCTTGCCGGAATACCATTCGAGGAAGAACTCTCCGTATTCCGTATTCCATGATCCTTCTCGTCGGAAGAAACCCGTCTCCTCGGGGAACTTGTAGTAGTCACCGGTGTCATGAGGGCCACTTCTCCCCCATTCTTCATGACCGGCGGCTATGGCGGCGGCCTTCAGAGAAGCCATCATGTACTGCAACGTATAAAGTATGAAGTTACAAATTTGTTGACAAATTGTAATGATTTAATCTAGTTTTGTATTTACATTATAATGTGTACCTTGTCATAACACTGGAATTCTCCGATGCCAGGAAACCTCCAGGTGCTGTTTCTCTCAGGGTAAGAAGGGTATCGGAGCTCGCCGCAAGGGCCCATCCCAACTTGAATTTCCTGAAAAAGGTTACATTTTATTTGTTTATTTGAATTTGTAGCGAAGAAGGAGAGATCGGATTGAGGTTGATGAATATATGTTTTCTTACATTAATGACAATGCCGAGGTAATCCTTGAACTTATCTCGGAAACTCCGCATGTAGTCGGAGTAGACTTGGATTGGTGACCTGCCTCGGAGCACAGGGGTTGTATCGCAGCCAAGGGATATGTACTCTGGGTTCCTGCGGCCTGACCGGTCAGTGTACATGATGTCTGGATTTTGGTTCATTTCTTCCATAACCCAGGGAGGTAAGGGGATGCTGTAGTGAATGTTAATGGAAATATCTTCAGTTTAGCTGTGAAATCAACTAGTTGCTAATTATTGGGGACTAAATATAAAAATGTTAGAGAGAGAGTCCTCAGGGCTATCAATTTATAGCATTTAAACAGGATAAATATTGGCTCAGAATATCTTCAGTCAATTCTCGATGACTATACAACCACATCATTTTATCTTTAAAGACGATAAATTTTGAATTTTTATAATCAAATCGCTTAATTTTTACGAGACAAAATCATTTGTGCCAATTTTTGTATTTCGATGGCTCAAACAGCTAATTTACTGTTAAGAAACCAAGACAGCAGAATGTGGATTGTGACTCCAAACTTTGTAATTAAAGTAGGACAGGCTGGTGCGACTTGTGCAAACTAAAATGCTCCCCTTAAAGCAAGGTCATGCTTTCCGTAGTATGGGGGTTTCTTGAAGCAAGAAAATATGTTCTGAAACCATATAATGTGTTACATGTGTCTGTAACCAGGAATCAACATTGATTTGAAACTATTATTAAAAGGACAAAAATGACAAAAAATTTCTTCAAATGTCAGATGTGGTAACGAACAATTAAGAAAATATTCATGAGAAAGTATGCTTCAGGCAAGAAGGATGCAACTCGTGAAACATTACATATTCGTGACTAAAACAGGCCAGAACTATCGATGAAATTGACATAAATAACTTATTTGTTTCTTCTAATTTCATCCCAAAGTTGGAGAATCTGCTTCCCACTTTTTACTTCCTCAAAATCTGCTCGTCATCAAAGACCATAATCAACTAAAGGAGGTGTTTCGCATACCATGATCAACTAAAGGAGGTATTTAGGTGCATCGCCGGATTTATGTTAAATAGGATTTATTAAATTTGATAAATCGATGAACTCTGCCGAGAATGATGGTCACAAGCAATTGCGGCGTAAGTCCGTTAAAATCTATTTCTTTGTTATATTTCTCAAATCCATACTAAGTTTAAAAAACAGGAAAAAATATTGTGTCCAAAGTGAGATCAGGATGCAGTTGCTTCCGGATAACGGACGTGATACAACGGCGCAGAGCGGGAGCTCGGAACTGTATCGCGTCCGTTGTCCCATCTGCTGTCCCGGCAAGATCGCTCATCAGCCTTCAAATTTTCATAAACAGTCTTCTTAAATAGGATTTATCCAATCCGCCAAATCCATCAAAGCTCACGGCCAATATGACGGAGATGGAGCTCGCGATCAACAGCGGAGTAAATCCACCAAATCGAGAGTCGGATTTAACAGAGTTGGTTTTAGTTTTTCATTTTTTTAATGTTTGGCTGGATTTAAGGTGAAATCGATGGCTAAATCCTGCAGTAATTTGAATAAAAACTTTAGCAGGAGAAGCAGAGAAAGGGAGGGAGAAATAGATAGAGATACATACTTGCAGGAGTCTCCAACATTCCCACCGCACTGATGGAAAGACATGACCATCTGCAACTTAAGCCCATGTCTCTCCGCCATCTTCACCAGCTCCACATATGCCTCCCAATCATACCTCCCCGGCCCGGCCCTCTCCACCAGTCCCCACCACACATCCACCATCACCCCCTCCACCCCGGCGCTCTTCAACGCCATCATACTCGCTGCCAAAGCCCTCCCTCTCGTTAGCCCACCACACATCCCCACCGTATCCAACGGCAGCATCACATAAACCGGAACCCGCCCGTTGAAACTCGGACCACAGGCGCCAGAACCCGGTCCGCTGTGGCTATGAAGCCTCTCAGCCTTCCTCGGATCCACCGGAGCCTCCGCCTCAGCGGATATCGCCTTAGCTCGAACCCGTCTACTCGCTCTGGTCGATCCAAAGGAGACAGAGATTGGTGGGAGAACGGCATCAGCAACCTTGCGGGGCTTGCTGGAGTCGAAAGCAGATGGAAATGAGGTAGGAGAATGGAGGGTTGAAGCCATGGTTAATGCTCAAATTCCTCTCTTTTTTTTTGAAGTAATTTGAAAAGGGAAGGGAAGGAAGGTGTGGGGAGAAGGGAAGCGAGGTTGGGGTGTTTATAGGATTAAAGGAAAACATGAGAAGTGGATGGGTGGGCCGTGGTCCCGTGGAAGAAAAGGAAAAGAGCAGGACGGTTTGTCCTCTAACGCACATATTCTCAGCCGGCACGAAACTTTTCATATTTATTTTATGAATGTAGAGGTAAAAAATAAACTTTTGCTAATGGTGTATATTTAATCCAATGATATGACGACATCTGGAATTATGTACATGTGTCATGTTTTGATGAGTTGGGTGCGCCTTTGCGGTGCCTATTATTTCTCCTTAAAATTGGGCGTGGCAAATATGTGGGAATTGGGATAAATATTGATGTTAGCTATTTTAACTAATAAATATTTAAAAAGTAGCCAATTTTTTAGGTTTGATTTTCCATTTGTGGCCATTGGTTGCAAGATGTTGGAATCTTCTCAAATTCATTTGTAGTTAATGATATTGTACTCCTTATTTTTATTATATACTAGTCGGTCATTTTTCTAAGAAATCATGAATAGCGAAGTATGACTGCTCAACTAACATTTGTTAATTATGATCACGTAATCACCAATACTCAAGTGTGATCATTTGAATTCTAATATCCAATACAATTATCACAGTGTCATCACTCAGTTATAGTTCTATGATCTTTATCACTCAATTGTAAGTTAATGATATTGTACTCCTTATTTTTTATTATACAATAGTCGGTCATTTTTCTAAGAAATCACGAATAGCGATGTATGATTGCTCAACTAACATTTGTTAATTATGATCATGTAATCACCAATACTCAAGTGTGATCATTTGAATTCTAATATCCAATACAATTATCACAGTGTCATCACTCAGTTATAGTTCTATGATCTTTATCACTCAATTGTAAGCACATGAGCACTAATACACATGAAATTAATCATTAGACATGTGTCACTCATTTACAGTCATCCATAAGGGTTGACCCATTCAATTATTTACTTATATAGGAGGGCAATTTGGCCTTTTGCATCTTCTGAAGTATCAATTTTGTCTCTTCTGATATATCACTTTATCCTTCATCGTCCTAACCCCTCACGTGTTGGGTCTCAGAGGACAGTTTGCCTCCCTCAAGAAGAAGATGGGTTCCGCCCCCTGGTCATCCGATTGTAATCATCCATCAACAATTACTCATCTATAGTCTTTCAACGCTAGTTGCTCACTTGCAATTACATGTTAATAATATATAGGTAGGTCTATGTCGCTAGTCTGATCATAGTCGATTTGAATTGCTCTTTGGGCTAGTTGTTGATTTTGATTCAGATGGAGTTAGATCTTCACCGACCTACGTGAATCGGGTGGGTGAGGTTCAACTCTTGAACTGCTCTTGGTGTGCCCCATCTTATCACACGTGCTCTCTAATAGCTGTTGGCTATCTCCAAGATTCGTGCTGACATATTTTTTATGTACAATATATATGTCGATATATGAACATATTATTTAAAACTTCTGAATCTAATAAATTAATATTTATATCATTTAATTTTCTTAACTATAATTCTTGCACTTATTTGCGTCATGAATAATTGAGAATTTGTTGAAAAATTTGTCTTAACTTTCAATATTTATAAAAAAATACTTGCCCGAAACTGCATTTGGGTTGTTACACTAAACGCAGGCCATGGGTTGACCCCGCGGGTCGATCCCCCGTGATTGGCCCGCAGGTCGCGTTTCAGGATAAGCAGCTTATTCTGAAACGCACAATCTGCCCCAAACGGACCATAAATCTTACTTGCCATTGGTTTGCAGTCGGAGTCCTCCTCTTCTTTTTTTTTTTTTTTTTTTTTTTTTTTCGAAGGCGGGTTAAATTGAAAATTTTAAAATATTTTTTTTTTTTTTTTGGTTTTATCGAAGGCGAGTTGAATTGAAAATCTTAAAATATGAGTTGTATAATTAAATTCGCTAGAAAATAATAATAATTAAAAAAAAGTTTAGTTCCGATCAGATTGGTTCTAGTGTATATTTTCTTAATTAACTTAAGTTTTATCTACGTACGTGGCTTTCATGTTCTTCCAAAAATGCCAACTCAAGTCCACGCAAGATGTTCAACCGTTTGCATCACTCCTTCCTGTCACCACGTCAGGAATGTGAAACATGATTGTTGTATGGTGAAAAAATTCATGTTGCTGGAATAATAATTTAACATTTTGATATTACACGAAGATGTAATATATACGTAGATAATAGAAAAATAGTAGGAGAATACAAGAATAATTTTTTTGAAAAAATTGGAGAAGGGAAAACTAATGGGTGTAGCCCAATCAATATAATCTACTGTAAATGTGTAAGTACGAAAGTATATCTTTTTCTCACAACTTGAGAGCATGCTTACTATCAATACAAGACACATTACTTATTGATATACAATATAAAGAAAATACAATTGTTAGTAACAATCGTTGTATCATGACTACAATGGTAGTAAGAAGTGGTCGTTAGTGGTTTGTGGTTAGTGATGACAGGTGTTGACGATTGTCGGCGACTACGGAAACTGTAAGTTATGTCTGGTCTTCAGTATGTGGGTAACAAGTTACAATCATATTTGGGATACGATATTTACGAGAAGAGGTTGCCGGTGACAGGAAATTGGAGACATCAGGTGTGGTCGATAGTGTTCGGTAGCTGCAATGGCCAAAAGCTATGATCGGGTCATAAATCCAGAATGAGCTCTAGAATTTCCCGTCTTCTCTTATAATAGAGATGGGGTTTATTTATAACCTCTGAAGTAGAGACATTTTGATTTTTTGACAAATAATTTTCTCAACACCTGATCAGATGACCCATGGTAATTCCCCTAGATCAAACAGTTTTTTTTAATGATTTGAGTTCTTTAATAATAACAAAATTGAGTGAGCTTGATCGGTTGGATTTCTCTCATCTAGATGCTCGAATTGATTTCTTGATCTGGTTGGATTTCTCTCATCTAGATGCTCGAATTGATTATGACTATATCAAATTTGTAGTTCATTTAACTGTTTAATTGACATTCCAAAACCTCCAAATGTGTTTCAATGATTTGATTTGAACTTGATTAAATTTAAATTGAACCAATTGTGGCATCATTGGATTCATTTTGTCGATACAGTCATTTTGACTATGTAACTGTTGAGATCAGGGCCCTGGATGACCTCAAATTTGAATATATAACATTTATTACTAAAAAAATGCATTTAGATTTATGTTGGATGATAAAAAATTTTGTGGTGATGCAACAATGCTGGTAATTTTTTTGAATTTTAAAATTATTTAGAAGAAAAATATGGTGTAAATTTTGATTCATTATTTATAGATTATATATCTATAAAAATTAATAAACTTGAAAACTTTACATATGGGCAACACAATTTTTATGTTCTTACATATCTAACATTTAAACTTTCATATTTACGTAAACGTTTATAACACTTTTGTGTCATGACAAGATGTATTTCACCTTTAAAGTGTGAGTAAAAACGGTATTTTGCAATCTTAGAGATTTGAGTGGTATGCATGTAAATATGGAAGTTTAGGTGTCGGATATGTAAATACAAGGCAAAAGCTTTCCTTCTAATCATAATCGGTTCTTAGAATATATATATATTTTTGGATAAAAAAATCAGCACATTTCTTAACGTTTCTATTCTGGCAGTGCATTGACAGTTATTTAAAAAGATCATTTTTAACTTCGGAAGCTTCAGTTTAAAATAAGTTAATTTTTTGGATACGATACATTAAAAGCGGCTTATTTTAATTATGAATCATTTTACTTGCACATATTTCAATTATGCATCATTTTACTTGATCCTATATCCTAAACCCATAAAGATATGGTTATTCATACAATCTAAAATAAGGATGATTTGTGTTCATAGACAAGATTTCGCAAATTGAACGGGACATTGAGCTGCTAAAGAGAGAGATTCAAGATTGAAAAGTTGAATCTAAATTTATGAATAGGATGATGTAATAAATTATAAATTTATTTAAATATGACATAAATGATATATTTATTTTCAAACAAGTTATGATTAAAATATAAAATAAATACATCATTATTTAAATAATGCACACCACAATAATCTTCCAAATTAGTTTAAAATTTAATATTTAATTTTCAAAAAATTAAGTATGAAACATAAAAATTGCATCATAATAATTTAAAAAATTATATTTAATGAATAAAAATTAAATATTGTCAGAATCTAAAAGCGTTAAATCTTCTAAGATATCTCTAAATCTGTCACAAGGCACTAGAAGATTTTTATCACTATGTAATCATTCTTCCACCAAACTCAATTTATTACCCAACATTACTCAGTTTCCAATATCTTTTCTCTCCATTGACCACTCAGCCCTATTTACATTTCCAACACCACCTTTTTTTTAAAATCTAAATTCCAATGCAACTTAAGTATATAATCATTGAACCGTTTCACCGGTGCAATGGTTGGTTCTGGACGATGCGCACCCAAAATCAATTTTATGTGTGGCTTGAACTGGACTGGCCATTGATTCACAGTTGAATCGATCGAACCGGTCGTTCCGGTTTGATTTTATAAGCCTTCGTTGTAACAACATATCACCAATACAGTACAAACAAATAACTTCATATTAAAAATCTAGCAATAACTTTTAGTGACCATTGCTTATGAAAACGTATTCAAGACACAACGTTTTCTTCTGGACTCATGAAATTTTCTTTGTTGTATACCTACAAGTGCAGCCACCAACCGATGTATACAGTTTATGTAGCTAATTGTTACTGCAGCTACTAACTACAGTCTATGTAACCAACTATATTCTATGTGGCTAACTACCATTAAATCTTCCAATTACGATATCTATGGCCAAATGATGCTATTGCACTAATCAACTATGACCTCTATGACCAACTATGACCTATGTGGCTAACTACTACTACAACTTCCAATTCAGGACTATAAAACAAACTGATGATATTACAACCACAACTATAACATATGTGATCAAATGAAAATATTATACTACAGTTTATGTGGACAACTGACGATATTGCAGTTACCAATTATGGTTTATGTCGTCAATTGAAACTATTACAGTCACTAACTACAA